AAAAAAAAAAAAAAAAGCCAACCTTTAGCATTGAATTTTTCTCCTTTACCCTCCTCCAAAGGATCTAATAAGAATATACAATGCTTTCCTCTTAAGTGACACCAAGTCAATCCTAAAAGGAATTTGGGGCAATGTAGACATGTTCTGAGCCCCAATCCTCTCACAGAGAGAACAATGGAAGACCTTTATAATGTTACTTAGTAAACCCTTGTCTAGCTGCCAGGTGCTCAGAAGAAACAGCCCACAGCCGACTCAAACATCATTAATGTCATCAGTGCAGTAGGGCAGCCGCCTCTGTCCTTAAAGGAGGGTCTCAGAGACAAGAGTCTCACTCTACTGTCAAACTGAAAATTAAGGCACAGAATCACAGTGAAGACACCCTGAGATGGTGACATAGTCAAATTCAGAAGTTGTCTCTGTAGTCTCTGGAAACTGACTTCCATCTCAACAGCATGAACAAGAAAGCCCTGAGTGCTATTTCATAAGCCGAGTGAGTGTTTAGTGAGAGAAACGAAGTCTGTCGGACTAGAAGCTTAATTCTCTCTCTTATGTGGGTGATTTGGTAGAGAATCAAGGGTAAGACAGACCCTTTCTTGGGATGGATTCCCTAGTGTTTTCAGCCTCAATGCTTTAAAAACATTTCTCCTATATTTAGGGAACATGTAGAGTCTCTCCCACGTGGGTTCTCTGATGTGCAATAAAATGTGACCTACTGTTGAACTGCCTCCCACATTAACTACATTCATAGGGGTTTTTTTTGAGACAGTCTCTCGCTCTGTCACCAGGCTGTAGTGGAGTGGCGCAATTTCGGCTCACTCCAACCTCTGACTCCCTGATTCAAGGGATTCTCCTGCCTCAGCTCCCAAGTAGCTGGGATTATGGGCATGCACACCCAGCTAATTTTTGTATTTTTAGTAAAGATGGCATTTCACCATGTTGGCCAGGATAGTCTCGATCTCCTGACCTCGTGATCTGCCCACCCCAGCCTCCCAAAGTGCTGGGATTACAGGTGTGAGCCACAGTGCCTGGCTAGGGGTTTTCTCCTGTATAATTCACTGGTGTATGAGACTTGAGGCTCTAATTAAAGCTTTTCCCATATTGCCTGCATTTATAGGGTCTCCCTCCACAGTGAATTCGCTGGTGGGTAATGAGGTTTGAGCAGTCACTGAAACCTTTCCCACATTCCCGACATTCACAGGGTTTCTCTCCTGTGTGGATTCTTTGATGGCTGGTGAGGGTGGAGCTCCTACTGAACTTTCTCCCACACTCTGGGCACTGGAAGGGTTTCTCACCAGCGTGTGTTCACCAGAGTGCACTGAGGCACGAACTACTGATGAAACTTTTTCCACACTCACTACACTTACAAGGTTTCTCTCCTGTATGGATTCTCTGGTGCGTAATGAGCCTTGAGCTCTGGGTGAAGCTCTTCCAGCACACTCCACATTTGTAGGGCTTCTCTCCCATACGGATTACTCCTTTGAGAGTATAGGACAGTGTACTTATCTATTTTCATAATAATTATAATGACGGTCATAATGAAAACTAACATTTGCCAAGTGCTAGTACTGTGTGAGGATCCTCTAACAGCCCAGGGAGGTAGAAACCCTCACAATGTCCACTGTCCAGATGAGAAAATGGATGCTAAGGGTGTTTAAAGAGGTTGCCCAACAACAACAAGCCTTTTAAGTGGCAGACCGTTGTATATAATCTACGCAGGGTTGACCTCTATGGGGCACTAACTCCTACATTTCTCTCCTCTGTTCCTATAATGTTGTAACTAAAGGCAGGAAGGGAGACTCAGAGCAGAGCAACAACTCAGGGTGGTCTTTGTGAGCCATCCTGGACTACTGGTTCAGTCGAGGGTTGAGTCAAGCAATATTTGAGGACAGGATATAAACAGTATTCCCTTAATTGTCACCAATTTTTCCCGATGAGGCCATTCCAGACTCAAATTAGTCATAGCCAAGCCAAGACAATAATCATGTCTCCGGATTCTTAGCCTGAATGCTATCCACAAGACTGCATCGCTCCCACTGCTCTGAGGTCCACTGTGGGAGAGTGTTGCCATTGGGAGTCCACCGCAAGACCTGGAGACCAAGGCTCCAGGGTTCCTCGAGACCCCTCCACTAGTTAATTACCATCCCGCCACATCTTCTAGTGCTGTGCTTTGGTTCCCTTTGGAATCCCTTCGGTTCCGAAGAAGGCCTCCTGCCACCTCTAAGGCATCAAAGGTGTTCGCAACTGCCCAGGGACTCATCAGGCCATCCACCTCATCATGGAAGGCACAGGTGCCTGGCGTGTAGGTGCTCCTGGCTTTGCAGTAGTTGGTCTGGAGGTTTTTAAACCAAGATCAACACTGCTCCAGGGTCCACAGGAAGCCATGCTCTTGCAGCTGCTCAGCCACAATCCAGCACAATTGGCAGTTTCAACAGCAGGTGCAGGGTTTTTCATGGATCCAGGACTCTCTGAGAACTCCCAGAAAAATCTTGGTTTCCTTGCATCCCCAGTGCACTCCTGCCACCTTCTCATCCTCCAGGCCCTGCCACTGCAACTCATCCCAGGTCTTGGCTTTTCTCAAGATCAGCACCTGGCCACACTCCACTCCCATCCCAGCCACTGAGCAGCCTCTCACACTCTCCTTTTCTCCAGAGTGTGAAGATCCCAGCTCTGTGGGTTTTCCTCCTGCTCTATGTGGTGAGCCTCTGGATTGGAAAAGCTGTTTGCAGGCAGACAAAATGGAGAGTAATGGTTTGGTAAATCTAATCCCAACCATTATACGTGCCAGGAAGAGGAGACTAATTTTTTTTTTTTTTTAATTCTGGGGATTCTTGGGAAAGCTCAGTGAAAACAATTAGGAAAAAAAAAAAAATTCAGGCCCAAATGCATAACTACATATCCATGTTCATCATCTTAAATAAAAGTCAGACACGAGGAGGGATCCAATGTGGCCGAATAGGAATAGCTCTGGATTGCAGCACCCAGTGAGAAAACAGAGGGTGAGTGGTCACTGCATTTCCAAACGAATTTTTACTGCCCACAGACCAGGAGATTCCTGGGCGGAAATGCACCATGAGTCTCCAGCATGGCTGTTTCAGCCGGCACAGCGGGTCTCCACACAAAAACTCACACAAATCCAGGCGCCTTTTCAACTGGCGACTGGAACACCTAGGATACAGAGTTTCTCATTCAACTGAAAAAAAGGGGACCGAAACAGGGAGCCAGGCCAGGAGATTCCCAGGCGAAAAAAGCACCGGGCGCCATTTCAATTGGTGACTGGAACGCCTGGGAGACAGAGTCGCCCATTCAACTTAAAAAAAGGGGACTGAAACAGGGAGCCAGGTGATCTGGCCTGGCCAGACCCACCCCGACAAAGACCAGCAATCAGAAACACTCCGGATTGAGAAAACTCTTCACTGCAAGCACAGCTGAACCCAGGATGGCCCAGCTCTGCGGAGAAAGGGCATCCACCACTACCGAGGCAGCCCGCCACTACCGAGGCAGTTCTAACTATACCCCTATAAACAAAACTGCAAGGAAGTTCACCCAGCAGCTGGACAGAACCCACAGCAGCTCAGCAATGCCTCTGCTGGCAGACTGTGACTAGGCTACCTCCTCACTGGGCAGGGCATCCCTGAAAGATGGCAACAGCACAACAGAAACTTATAAATAAAGCCCTCCCTTCCCAGGACAAAAAACCTGGGGGAAAAAAGGCGGTTATGATTGAATATCAACTCAATGAAATAAAACAAGAAGGCAAGATTAGAGAAAAAAAGAGTAAAAAGAAACGAATAAAGCCCCCAAGAAATATGGGAGTATGTGAAAAGACCTAATCTACGTTTGATAGGTGTACTGGAATGTGACAGACAGAATGAATCCAAGCTGGGAAACACTCTTCAGGTTATTATCCAGGAAAACTTCCCCAACCTAGCAAGCCAGGCCAATATTCAAGTCCAGGAAATACAGAGAACACCACAAAGATACTCCTCAAGAAGAACAACCCCAAGGCACATAATCGTCAGATTCACCAGGGTTGAAATGAAGCAGAAAATGCTAAGGGCAGCCAAAGAGAAAGGTGGTCGGGTTACCCACAAAGGGAAGCCCATCAGACTCACAGTGGATCTCTCAGCAGAAACTATACAAGCCAGAAGAGAGTGGGGACCAATATTCAACATCCTTAAAGAAAAGAACTTTCAACCTAGAATTTCATATCCAGCCAAACTAAGTTTCATGAGTGAAGGAAAAAGAAAATCCTTTATGAGCAAGCAAGTACTCAGAGATTTCATCACCACCAGGCCTGCTTTACAAGAGCTCCTGAAAGAAGCTCTAAACATAGAAAGGAACAACCAGTACCAGCCACTCCAAAAATGTACCAAATGGTAAAGAGCATCGACACAAAGAAGAAAATGCATCAACTGACAGGCAAAACAACCAGCTAGCATCAAAATGGCAGGATCAAACTCACACATAACAATACTAACCCTAAATGCAAATGGGCTAAATGCCCGAATCAAAAGACATAGACCAGCAAATTGGATAAAAAGTCAAAACCCATCGGTGTGCTGTATCCAGGAAACCCATCTCACATGCAAGGATACACAAAGGCTCAAAGTAAAAGGATGGAGGAAGATTTACCAAGAAAATGGAGAGCAAAAAAAAACAGGAGTTGCAATCCTAGTCTCTGATAAAATAGACTTTAAACCAACAAAGATCAAAAGACACAAAGAAGGACATTACATAACGGTAAAAGGATCAATGCAACAAGAAGAGCTAACGATCCTAAATATATATGCACCCAATACAGGAGCACCCAGATACATAAAGGAAGTTCTTAACGACTTACAAAGAGACTCAGACTCCTACACAATAACAGTGGGAGGCTTTAACACTCCACTGTCAATATTAGACAGATCAACGAGACAGAAAATTAACAAGGATATCCAGGACTTGAACTCAGACCTGGATCAAACAAACCTAATAGACATTTACAGAACTCCCCACCCCAAATCCACAGAATATACATTCTTCTCAGCACAACACCAACTCTAAAACTGACCACATAATTGGAAGTAACTCACTCCTCAGCAAATGCAAAAGAACAGAAATCATTAACAGTCTCTCAGACCACAGTGCAATCAAGTTAGAACTCAGAATTCAGAATCTAACTCAGAACCGCACAGCTTCGTGGAAACTGAACAACTAGGTCTTGAATGTTAACTGGATAAACAATAAAATGAAGGCAGAAATAAAGATGTTCTTCAAAACCAACGAGAATGAAGACACAACATACCAGAATCTCTGGGACACATTTAAAGCAGTGTCTAGAAGAAAATATATAGCAATAAATGACCACATGAGAAGAAAAGATCTAAAATCGACACCCTATCGTCAAAATTGAAAGAGCTAGAGTAGCAAGATCAAAAAAACTCAAAACCTAGCAGAAGACAAGAAATAGATTAGAGTGAAACTGAAGGAGATAGAGACACAAAAAACCCTTCAAAAAAATCAATAAATCCAGGAGCTGGTTTTTTGAAAAGATCAACAAAATAGACCACTAGCCAGATTAATAAAGAGAGAATAATCAAATAGATGCAATAAAAGACAATAAAGGGGATATCACCACAGATTCCACAGAAATACAAACCACCATCAGAGATTACTACAAACAACTCTATGCACATAAACCAGTAAACTTGGAAGAAATGGATAAATTCCTGGACACTTACATCCTCCCAAGGCTAAACCAGGAAGAAGTCGAAACCCTGAATAGACCAATAACAAGGGCTGAAGTTGAGGCAGCAATTAATGGCCTAGCAACCAAAAAAAGCCCAGGTCCAGATGGGTTCACAGCCGAATTTTACCAGACATACAAAGAGGAGATGGTACCACTCCTTCTGAAACTATTCCAAACAATCCAAAAAGAAGGAATCCTTCCCAAATCATTTTATGAGACCAACATCATCCTAATACCAAAACCCAGCAGAGACTCAACAAGAAAAGTAAAGTTCAGGCCAATATCCATGATGAACATAGATGCAAAAATCGTCAACAAAATACTGGCAAACCATTGCAACAGCACATCAAAAAGCTTATCCATCACGATCAAGTAGGCTTCATCTCGGGGATGCAAGGCTGGTTCAACATACACAAGTCTATAAACATAATTCACCACATAAACAGAACCAAAGACAAAAACCACATGGTTATCTCAATAGATGCAGAGAAGGCCTACGAAAAATTCAACAGCTCTTTATGCTAAAAAATCTCAATAAACTAGGTATTGACGGAACATATCTCAAAATAATAAAAGCTATTTATGACAAATCCACAGCCAATATCACACTGAATGGGCAAAAACTGGAAGCATTCCCTTTGAAAACTGGCACTAGACAAGGATGCCCCCTCACCACACCTATTCAATATGATATTGGAAGTTCTAGCCAGAGCAATCAGACAAGAAAAAGAAATAAAGGGTATTCAAATAGGAAAGGAGGAAGTCAAATTGTCTCTATTTGCAGACATGATTGTATATTTAGAAGACCCCATCATCTCAGCCAAAAATCTCCTGAAACTGATAAGCAACTTCAGCAAAGTCTCAAGATACAAAATCAATGTGCAAAAATCACAAGCATTCCTATACACCAATAACAGACTTAAAGAGAGGCAAATCAAGAACGAACTGCCATTCACAATTGCTACAAAGAGAATAAAATACCTAGGAAATACAACTAACCAAGAATGTAAAGGACCTCTTCAAGGAGAACTACAAACCACTGCTCAACGAAATAAGAGAGGACACAAACAGATGGAGAAACGTTCCATGCTCATGGTTAGGAAGAATCAGTATCGTGAAAATGGCCATACTGCCCAAAGTAATTTATAGATTCAATGCTATCCCCACCAAGCTACCAATGACCTTCACAGAACTGGAAAAAACCACCTTAAACTTCATATAGAACCAAAAGAGAACCTGCATAGCCAAGTCAATTCTAAGCAAAAAGAACAAAGCTGGAGGCATTATGCTACCTGACTTCAAACTATACTGCAAGGCTACGGGAACCATAACAGCATGGTACCGGTACCAAAACAGAGATATAGACCAATGGAATACAACAGAGGCCTCAGAGGCAACGCCACACATCTACAACCAACCGATCTTTGACAAACCTGACAAAAACAAGCAATGGGGAAAGGATTCCCTGTTTAATAAATGGTGTTGGGAAAACTGACTAGACATGTGCAGGAAGCAGAAACTGGACCCCTTCCTGACACCTTACACTAAAATTAACTCCAGATGGATTAAAGACTTAAACATAAGACCTAACACTATAAAAACTCTAGAAGAAAATCTAGGCAAAACCATTCAGGGCCGGGCGCGGTGGCTCAAGCCTGTAATCCCAGCACTGTGGGAGGCCGAGGCGGGTGGATCACGAGGTCAAGAGATCAAGACCATCCTGGTCAACATTGTGAAACGCCGTCTCTACTAAAAATACAAAAAATTAGCTGGGCATGGTGGCGCGTGCCTGTAATCCCAGCAACTCAGGAGGCTGAGGCAGGAGAATTGCTTGAACCTGGGAGGCGGAGGTTGCAGTGAGCCGAGATCGCGCCATTGCACTCCAGCCTGGGTAGCAAGAGCGAAACTCCATCTCAAAAAAAAAAAACCATTCAGGACATAGGCCTAGGCAAGGACTTCATGACTAAAACACCAAAACCATTGTCAACAAAAGCCAAAATAGACAAATGAGATCTAATTAAACTCCAGAGCTTCTGCACAGCAAAAGAAACAATCATTAAAGTGAATGGGGAATCAACAGAATGGGAAATAATTTTTGCAGTCTACCCATCTGACAAAGGGCTAATATCCAGAATCTACAAAGAACTAAAACAGACTTACAAGAAAAAAACAAGCCCATTCTGTGAACACTTTACAAAAGACAACATATATGAGGCCACCAAACATATGAAAAAATGGTCATCATCACTGGTCATTTGAGAAATGCAAATCAAAACAACACTGAGATACCATCTCACACCAGTTAGAATGGCAATCATTAAAAAATCTGGAGACAACAGATGCTGGAGAGGATGTGGAGAAATAGGAACACTTTTACACTGTTGGTGGGGGTGTCAATTAGTTCAACCATTGTGGAAGACAGTGTGGCGATTCCTCAAGGACCTAGAAATAGAAATTCCATTTGACCCAGCAATCCTATTACTGGGTAATATCCAAAGGATTATAAATCGTTCTATTATAAGGACACATGCACATGAATGTTCATTGCAACACTGTTTACAACAGCAGAGACTTGGAACCAACCCAAATGCCCATTGAGGATAGACTGGAAATGTGGCACAAATACACCATGGAATACTATGCAGCCATAAAAAACTATGAGTTTGTGTCCTTTGTAGGGACATGGATGAACCTGGAAACCATCACTCTCAGCAAACTGACACAAGAACAGAAAATCAAACACTGCATGTTCTCACTCATAGGCGGGTGTTGAACAATGAGAACACATGGACACAGGGAGGGGAGCATCACACACTGAGGTCTGTGGAGGGGACCTAGGGGAGGGACAGCTAGGGGTGGGGAGTTGGGGAGGGGTAACATGGGGAGAAATGCCAGATACAGGTGATGGGGAAGAAGGCAGCAAACCACATTGCCATGTATGTACCTATGCAACAATCCTGCATGTTCTTTACATACACCCCAAAACCTAAAAACGCAATTTTTATACACACACACACACACACACACACACACACACACACACACACGTTAGATACATACCTAAAATGACCATCTCCTTTAAATGAGCTTTCCTTTCTGGGTCAAGAAACTCATCCTTGGTGAAACTGACTATGGTACTAGATTTCTTTCTTTTGAGCAAGATTTAAGGTAGAAATAGATTTGAAACATTCAACCCAGGGAGAAGGGGTGGGAATGGGGGGTGAGGGATAAAAGACTACACACTGGGCCAAGCGCAGTGGCTAATGCCTGTAATCCCAGCACTTTGGGAGGCCAAGACAGACAGATTACTTGATGTCAGGAGTTCAAGACCAGCCTGGCCAACATAGTGAAACCCTGTCTCTACTAAAAAAATAGAAAAATTAGCTGGGCATGGCGGCACATGCCTGTCATACCAGCTACTCAGAAGGCTAAGGCAGGAGAATCACTTGAACCTGGGAGGCAGAGGCTGCAGTGAGCCAAGATCACACCACTGCACTCCAGCCTGAGAAACAGTGAGATTCGGTCTAAAAAAAAAAGGCAACACATTGGATAGAGATTTGAGGGATAAAAAAGACTACCCTTGGGTGATAGGTGTGCCAAAATCTCAGAAATCACCACTAAAGAACTTTTCCATGCAACCAAATACCACTTGTTCCCCAAAAACTATTGAAATAAAAGTTCAAAAAAATAAGGACAAACAGGGAAAAAGAGAAAAAAAATTCAACCTGAAAAAGGTCTGGAGTAGTGAATACTACAGAAACTCCACAGCTAACTTTGACTATGAGAAAAAAAAAAAAAGTCATTCTTACCCAGCATGACCTCATTTTCAGAATTCTGCCAAGTTATTTCTAGGTGGTTCTTCTGTCCAGAATCTGGCTCCCTCCATGCCTCCGAGGAGACATACACAGCCAAGTCGCCAAGTGTCGCTAGCTCCTGAGGAAACACAACACCCCTCTCAGAACACATGGCCTCAGAACAAAATGCCTATGCCCAAGTCAGGGCAAGTGACAGAACAGACTTAGAAGAAATGAAACAGTGATGATTTTGGCTTTAAATGCAATAAAAGGGGCAGGAGGAGAGAGAAAAGAAACAAGCTGACATTTATTGAACACCTATGTCCTGGGCCAGAAGCTTCTCAGACTTGCCCAGAGTCACACAGCGAGTCCAGGGCATGTCTGGGATTTCAACTCAGGGCTGTTGGACTCTGAAGCTTTTGGTTTTGTTTTTTTATGTCCACTACACAATACTGCACGCCATGTGAGCAAGATCCCAATATGGAATGAAGTAACCAGTATCTTTAATGCAAACAAGCAGATCAGCAGAGTCTGATGATTTCAGGGTCAAAGAAAAGAGTAATTTTAATGCAATCCCTCATTATCACAGCCATGGCACTGGCCTTATATGGGCAGGAATTTCATCATTGCAGGCTGATGAAATTTTGGAGGCTAAATTGTAAAGTTTCTGGGCCTCCCTGCTGGGTAAAATTCTTTGAAATTTCTGAGGGCAAGAGAGTTGGTTGCAGAATCCCCATTCAAGCAGTAAAGGGTGACCTGAGAGGAGTGTGAGCTAGGGGAGGGACAGCACTAAGAAAAATATCTAATGTAGATGACAGGCTGACGGGTGCAGCAAACCACCATGGCACGTGTATACCTATGCAACAAACCCGCACGTTCTGCATATGTACCCCAGAACTTCAAGTATACTATATATACACACAAAATATTTGAAAAAAAGAAATATAATAAGTAAAAACAAACGACTTAATAGTTTTCCCAAAAGGAGAAACTTGAGCTGTGCCTCAAGAATTATATTTTTATTAAAAAAAAAAAAAAAAAAAGGCGGGGGGGGGTGCCAGGCATGGTGGCTCATGCCTGTAATCCCAGCATTTTGGGAGGCCGAGGCCGGAGGATCACAAGGTTGGGAGTTCAAGACCAGCCTGACCAACATGGTGAAACCCCATCTCTAAAAAAGAAAAAAAAAATTTATTAAAAAAAAAAATTAAATTAAATTAGAAAAAGGTGATCTGAATAAGAGAAAAGGCAGACTCACCTGGGAGCTGCTCACTATCCGCTGGCCACCCTGTTCTTCTCTGCAGGAATTCCAAGAGCCCGAGGATCAGGCAGGGCTGGGAGGAAAAAGGAGGCATTAGAGTGCATGGCACTCAGCTCCTCTCAGGAACTAGCTCAAGTGGGTCCAGACACAGAACAGCCTTTCCTCCTCTCCTATCTGCTTTGTCCTATCAAAGGAAGGTTGGTGAAAAACCAAAATGAAACATTTAGAAGATGAAAGTTTTGGGTTTTCCCCTCCATATCCATCTAGGTACTGACTATCAGGGTTTTTTTATTGTTTTTCATGTTTTGGGGTTTCTTTTTTTTTTTTTTTTTGAGACAGGGCCTTGCTCTGTCACCCAGGCTAGAGTGTAGTGGCACAATCTCAGCTTACTATTGCCTCAACCTCCTGGACTCAGGTGGATCCTCCTATCTCAGCCTTCTGAGTAGCTGCAACTACAGGTGGCTGCCACCATGCCGAGCTCATTTTTTGTGTATTTTTAATAGACACAGAGTTTCACCATGTTGCCCTCACTCTTCTCCAACTCCTGGGCTCAAGTGATCCACCCACCTCAGCCTCCAAAGTACTAGAATTACAGGGGTGAACCACTGCACCTGGCCTTGTTTTTCCAGTTTTGATAACACACCTGAATCATCTGAATTGGTCTGGGGATGCTTAGCTGTTTTAAGGATTACTGAACCTTAACCCTACTAGTGTCCTTCCCACCATCCAGACCTCAAATCTGTCTCCAACTGTAACCTATTGGGATCAATAATCTCTGACTCACATAAGGAAAGGTACCGCAGGCTCCCCTATGCTGTTTTACAAAACATGCCAACAGAGGTCCTTCTTCCCTTTGTAGGTATCCATTTAGGATCTCAGAGATTCATGCGGTCAGCCTCAGCTCAACATGCCAGTCTTCCAAGTAGAAGGGAGCTGTACCTTCTACCCAACTTCCTACATTCAGAGAGTACTTCTATGCCCTCCCCACACAAGTGTACTTCCTTCCTCCCCTCACTGCCACTTCTTACCGCTCTTGTGGACAGGCTGGAGTTCTACTTTGGGGCTGTGGTTCAACCGTTTCTCTGGTTCTGGCTGTGAGTTTTTCGCCATTGCCTGGAACAAACACATAGATACTGTCTGTGCTTTTTTTGGATGGATATTTAGAGATCTCAGTACTGACCCTGCGGGCTCCTTCCCCTTTGAGAGCACACCCTGCCCCTATTTAAGGACTGGAAGTAGTCAAAAATTCTGCAGGGACTAAAACCTTAAACATCCCAAAACATAAAAAAGCAGAGGAAGAAGCCAATCTTATACAAAAGCCTGCAACAGCAGTTAAGAGGGTGGACATGTGAAGACTTTATGGAGAAAAGGCTATGGACCACTGCATCCTGGCCACTCAGCTCTCCTGGGGCTGCTCCTACCGGCCTTGCCAACCCTTAGGCAAAGAAGCATAGGAGAATTCAGGTGTTTCACAATAAGCTCAATAATGTCGAGGAAGACCATTGAAAGCAGCTTGCCTCTGGCTGGCTGCTGCAGAATGAGATCTCCAGAAAGAGATCCCTGTCATACATGCTCCTCCTTGATCAGAGTGAAGCTCAAGCCATCTTAAGCAATTTTCTTATTTAATGGCAGGGACCGACACTGAGAGCAGCCAATGTTGTACATTCTCTGAAGAGTCAGCCTGGGCTGGCCACGATGATTGGCCTGGTGCGATGGCTCACACCTGTGATCCCAGCACTTTGGAAGGCCAAGGCAGGCGGATCACTTGAGGCTGGGAGTTCGAGACCAGCCTGACCAACATGGAGAAACCCCATCTCTACTAAAAATACAAAATTAGCCAGGCCTTGTGGCGCACACCTGTAATCCCAGCTACTCGAGAGGCTGAGGCAGGAAAATCTCTTGAACCTGGGAGGCGCAGGTTGTAGTGACCTCAGATTGTGGCATTGCATTGTAGCCTGGGCAACAAGAACGAAATTCAGTCTCAAAAAAAAAAAAAAAAAAAAAAAAGTCAGCCATACCAGGAAGGAAAGTTGCAGCTACCACAACCATGAAATAAGCAAACTCCAGTTTAACACAGAGTAAAGTACTACACATCGCCCACACTGCTGGCAACCCAAGGCAGCTCTGTCTCTCATATTCCTCTATTTTAACTGTTCAGAACTAAGTTTTTAGATCTCACCTGCAGCCCTGCCTTCCAAGTTCTTTCTGCAAGTCTTCCACCAGGGCCACTGCCACCTCTCCACTCTCAGGATGCTGCTGTCTCACCCAGATCTGGATCTCCCGGGGAAGGACAGTGGCGGGGAAGGACAGTCAGGAACTGTTCTAGGACCAGCTCTTTTGTACACTTCTCTAGCCTTAGCCACTGACAATGGAGCTTCTTGGTAATGGAAATGCCAAAAGCTCTGACAGGATGTCTCTGGTCCAGAGTCATTCCCTTGAAGGGAAATTTCCTGCTCCCAGTTTCACTATTTGGAGATCTTGTACTGAAGGAGTCTGGATTTGTTGGTCCACAGCTACAGCCATTGTTCAGGTCAGAGAAGAACCGTGCAACTGCACTCTAAAGCTCCAGCCTCTTCTATCACCCCACTGGGAAGCCATCTTCAGTTAGGAGTCACTAAGTGGAAACTTCTCTTGAAATTCTAGAGTCAGAAACACACATTAAAAAGTGAACTCTAGGAAAAATCTCAAGTGTTAGCCCCGCAGGCTTGAGAAGAAGAGAACCTTCCTGTCCCTGCCCCGCTGCATGCCCTGGTGCCTGTGGAGTCACTGGTGGGGTGGCAGTTCCAGAAGCTTGGTAACAGGAGTCAAAGGCTAATGATCTGGTTGAAAAGCAGAGGAGCCTGAAGCTGTGTTTACATAGCAATTAATTAAAGCTGAGAAAACGCCAATTATCCAGTGAAGAATGTGGGTGAGTTGGAGATTATACATGCGACAATAAATTGCCTGCCCTCCCAAGGCACTGGTCTTCAGAACTACTGTGTTGCACAGTAACTGTCTGGTACAAGTCAGACGTCACACAAATAGCAGCATCTTGAAGAGCAGCATCAGGGTGGAGCCAGCTCTAAATTTCAAAGATTCAAATACTCCAACAGCTCAACTGCCCTCGCCTCTGGCTGGATTCTCAGCCTCGGGCGCACCGTTCAGGATTTCTCAGCTCTGGCATCCTAATTTTAAGCCCAGACAGGAACATTTATCCTGGTTAAGCTTACAAGCTTTAAGACAAAGGATAATAGGGGCCGGAGGGGTGGCTCAAGCCTGTAATCCCAGCACTTTGGGAGGCGAGCGCAGCTGGATCATCTGAGGTCGGGACTTCAAGACCAGCCTGAGAAACCCGGTCTCTTACTAAAAATGCAACAACAAAAAAAAAATTAGCCGGGCGTGGCGGCGGACGCCTGCAATCCCAGCTACTCGGGAGGCTGAGGCAGGAGAATCACTTGAACCCGGGAGACGGAAGTTGAGGTGAGCCGAGATCCCGCCATTTCGCTCCAACCTGGGTAACAAGGGCGAAATTTCGTAACCAAAAAAAAAATTTTTTTTAAAGAGAAAGAATAATAAAAACGGACTCTTTCGGAATGGTAGAGTTGTCAAGTTACGAGATACTTTGGCTTGAAATCTCTTAAGAGCTGAGGCAATCCTGGCTTAGGGACCTCAAGGGACTTGCCCAAGGTCACATAGCTGGTTTGAGGCAGGAAAATGAACAGCGGCTCGGCCCTTCGACTGCAGACTGGGTGACTTACACTAGAAGGCTACTCTGCTCCGCGGGCGACCTTCTCTGGACACTTTATGGGGCAGCGGGGGCCTTGCGGCCAGGGGAGCTTCGGCGGCTACAGGGCCGGGGTCGTCCTTCCAGGCCCAGGGACCGTCGGGCAGCAGGGCGCCACCATCACGAGGATCGTATCCTGGCTCCGAGTCATATCGCGGGGACTCGGGGCCAGCGCCCGAGGCGTCCGGACCCCGGCTCGCGGCCCAGGCCCGAGGTGAGAACTGCTCCCGCCCGCCGAAGCCCTGAAAATACGGACGGCTCGGCCCCACGACACCCCGTCCACAACCACGCAACGCTTCCACACGACACTAAAAGCCCGAGCTCAAGCCCGGGTATTCGGACTGCCGCTGAGCACCGGAAGCGGAAAGCTGAGGCCCAGAGAAACTCCGTATTGGCTGGAACTACATTTCCCAGTGGTCGCCATCCGAAGACAGACAGCAGCGTTAGCCAATAAGATATGAGGATGTCTCAGGCGCCTATTGATTTCCGACGAATCATTGATGACAGGTGGGATTTGTAGGCAAGCTGGACCTAGCCAGCTTGTCTACAAGTCCCAGCTGTTATCAACGAGAACCGCAGCCAGAGTTCGCGCAATGGTGGGGAGTGTGGGTCCTGCTTCCCAGGGGAGGTGGAGACCTCTCACCTTGCGCGGCCTTGGTGCCACTGAGCGAGAGGCTCTTTACAGTTTTTGTTTTGTTATTCGATTTTATTTTTTTGAGACGGAGCCTCGCTCTGTCGCCCAGGCTGGAGTGCAGTGGCGCTATCTCGGCTCACTGCAACCTCCGCCTCCTGGGTTCAAGCAATTCTCCTGCCTCAACCTCCCGAGTAGCTGGGATTACAGGCGCGCGCCACCATGCCCGGCTAATTTTTTGTATTTTTAGTAGAGCGAGGGTTTCACCATCTTAGCCAGGCTGGTCTCGAACTCCTGACCTCGAGATCCACCCGCCTCGGCCTCCCAAAGTGCTGGGATTGCAGGTGTGAGCCACCTTGCTAGACCTTTGTTTTGTTTTTAATAGAAACGAGGTCTAACTATGTTGCTCAGAGTGGTCTCAAACTCCTGGGCTCAGGCCATCCTTCTGCCTGGGCCTCCCAAAGTGCTGAGATTATAGGCGTGAGCCGCAACTCTGGTTTATAAAATATTTTCACTTAGGGCCGAGGGCAGCTGTTTAACCCTGTTAGTCCCTATTTACCCCTGCTATACAGATGACTAAATCGAGATAGCATGGGACTGAGGTCTCTGCTCCTATGAAGATGGAACTCCAGTTAAGGTTTTCTGCCACTTAAAGCGCTTTTCTCTGCCATGGTTGCTAGCTGTAGTGATGCTCTACCACCCTGTTCCTCCCCTCACTTACCACACACACAATTCTTCATTTCCTGCTTGCACAGTCCTGGGTCATTTAAGATTAATACCATTGACTTTCATTCAACAGCTGTGGAGCAATTTGGGCCAAGCACCAGGTGGCAAGTGTGCTGTGGTGGAAGAAAAAAAAGTGAAACACTCCTTCCTCTTAAGGAATGCAGTCCAGCAGAGGGTGCATTTTCTAAAATGCTGCCACGGAATTATGTGCAACCTAGATTAACTCCAATGCAGTGCTATTAATAAATGCTTCGGTAAATGCTATGTGCTAAGTGGAGGTATGTTCAAAAGAAATGACTTGATAGAAATACCAGGGACTGACCCGGCGTGGTGGCTCACACCTGTAATACCAGCACTGGGAGGCCAAGGTGGGTGGGCCACTTGAGGTCAGGAGTTCGAGACCAGCCTGGCCAACATGGTGAAACCCCGACTCTACTAAAAATACAGAAAAATGAGCCTGGCATGGTGGCGTGCACCTGTGATCCCAGCTACTCAGGAGGGTGAGGGAAGAGAATCGATTGAACTGGGGAGGCAGAGAGTGCAGTGAGCCGAAACCACACCACTGGGTTGAGAGCAGCCTGGCCAACATGGTGAAACCCCATCTTAAAAAAAAAAAAGCAAAATAAAAAATACCACGGAAGGGCTGGGAGAGCCCAGGACAGTGCAGCCTCAGGGAAAAGACCTACTTCACATATTTTTTTTTCCCATGGGTGTCAATTGCTAAGTGGGTTTTAATACATTTTTTCTGGTTTGGTTCTGATAAGGAATCCTGGAACCCTGCATTGTAGGTTTCACTTCCTATTCAACAGATGAAAGGTCCAAATTTAATAAAGGTGGGGGAAGCTGTGATTGCCCCCACACAGTAGGAGCAGCCTGTGGTTAGGCGAGAGAAGGACAGGATGACAGGAAGGGCTTTCCAGAGAATCACTTGCAAAGCTGGGCCACGGAAATTGCTTTTATCCCTCTTAACTTAGTGTCGACAAAAAGTCTTAGCGCAGACAAACCTACTGAGTTTAATTTGGGAGAAAAAGTCATGGAGAAGACCCTTTAGAATGTACTTTCAAACTATAAACCAAATGGGGTGCCTGAAAGGCGGTCGTTCCCCTTGTCTTTAGAAAAAGGGAATCGAGGCTGGGCATAGTGGCTCACGCCTGTAATTCCACCACTTCGTCTGTAATCCCAGCACTTTAGAAGGCCTAGGTGGGCGGATTATGAGGTCAAGAGTTCAAGACCAGCCTGGCCAATATGGTGAAACCCTGTCTCTACTAAAAACCCAAAAATTAGCTGGGCATAGTGGCACACGCCTGTAGTCCCCAGCTACTCGGCAGGCTGAGGCAGAAGAATCACTTGAACCGGGGAGGCAGAGGTTGCAGTGAGCCGAGATCGCACCACTGCACTCCAGCCTGGGTGACAGGGTGAGACTCCATCGAAAGAAAAAAAGAAAGGAAGGAAGGAAGAAAGGAAGGAGGGAAGGGAGGGAGGGAAGGAAAGAAAGGAAGAAAGGAAAGAAAGAAGAGAGAAAGAGAAAAGCCAGGCGCAGTGG